TGTTAGCAAGTTCACTGTGAACTTTGTATTGATTGCCATTAATTCTCACAACAACCTTGCAAGTTGCTCATTGAACAGACAAGGAAACCGAGGCTTAGAGATTTACTGTAGGGTTACTCATCTAGTCTGAGGTCATTTGGGATCCAAGTCTAGCTGTGTGCTCTGAGTTTTAGCTCTTCCTACTAGGACATCTGCAAAAATCAATACCATCGTTACAAGGTAGAAAGTGATAAGCAGCTAAGTCATAAAGAAAAAGTACCTCGTGTTTCAGAGGTGAGTGGTCTCTCTCACTCTCTGGGAGCTAAGCTATCAGGAACTTCCCTATCAATGAGATGCTGTCACAGAGCAATGAATTCCAAATTGAAGGTTTTTGTTTGTCTTTAGCTGTATCAGGCTCAGGGCCAGCCGTGCTTTTAGGATTTATTATCATGATTTCCTTAGGCCTCCCAATTACTAACTGGCAAGTAATACCTTAAGACCCAGGAATATTGAATAGAGAGAACAGTGGGCTAGGGGTTAGGCTACCTGGCTCTTTGTTCTACCTCAACAATTTTGAAATAAAGTTTTGTTGGACTGGATTTAATGGCCCTCAATTCTCCCCTTTCCTGTATGCATGCCCCTTTACAAAATGTGTCTTTGATGCCTGTCCCATAACCAAGGAGGGAGCTGGAATCTGGACTGGCCTTGTGAACTTGCTTTGACCAACAGCATGGGGAAGCAGAGATACAGTGGGATTTCTTTTTTTAAACTTAATTTTATTTTATTGTGCTATGTTAGTCACCATACAGTACATCATTAGTTTTTGATGTAGTGTTCCATGATTCATTGTTTTCGTATAACACCTAGTGCTCCGTGCAATACATGCCCTCTTTAATAACCATCACTGGGCTAACCCATGCTCCCACCCCCCTCCCTCTAAAACCCTCAGATTGTTTTCAGAGTCTGTCGTCTCTCACGGTTCGTCTCCCCCTCTGATTTCCCCCCCTTCATTTTTCGATACAGTGGGATTTCTGAAGCTGGCCTTAAGAAATTAAGCTTCTGCTGCCCCTTCTTATGACTCTGCTCCAAGACTGCCCTGCTAGGAAGAAGCTGGGGTGAAGGGCCACATAGAGGGAATGGCTCCCGCCATCTCTGCTCTCCCAACCACCCTAGACTGAACCCTGCCCCCTTTGGAATGTTGCTGTGCAGGCGAGAACTGAGCAGCCAACCCACAGAACCTTGGGAAAGGTCACTTGTATTAAGTCACTTGGTTTAATGTGGTTGGTTACACAGGGATGGATAGTGGATCCACATGGGCATGATCCCGCTGGGGAAAGGGTTTTGAAGAGCCTTTAGAATACAGGTGTGGAAAGGGGCTTTACCTGTAGGAGTGACATGGAATGGGATGGGGGAGAAGGCTTGTTATCTCTAGGAATTCGATAAAGTTGGAAGAAAACAGGCACGTGGAGGATGTTCAGAGCAGGAGTTGGTATTCAAATACTGAATGCAATAAGAATCATTGTACTGGAAAATTCCAGGACTGGGAGGACCTTCTGGAACCACATGGTCCAGGAATGGCAAATAGTTTTCATCGTTCTCCAACTCCAGCTGATTGGCAATGGCTGCCGGGAGTGCTGTGCTGGGAATTCTGAGGTTTTGTCTGTTTTCAGCAGGAAAGGGGGCTTTGATTGATTAGTAATGCCTGCTGTGGGTGTGGGTCTTACTTCAGTTACTCTACTGTGCAAAACTCTTCACAGGCCGTCTCAGCACTTTTACCCATGCTGTATGGTCTCTTTGGAATGCTCTCCCTGCCCCATCACCATTTTTCTAGCTGGCTCATCCTTCAAGATTTGCCTTTAATGCCCCTTTCTTGGGGAGACCTGCCCTGCCTGAAGTAGAACTCCCTATTAATGCCTCTTGGTTGCACTTGTCATAATTTGTTGATATATGTTTGTGTGTCCTTGCATATATGTGTGCGTGTGTGTATTTGTTTTAATTACCCTTCTTCATCCCCTTCTCACAATACATTCATATAACGGCAAGCTTCCTTAGGGCAGGGCTATGTCTATTTTTCCCAGCGCAATAGGTGGTCAGTACTATTTGTTGGAATGAGACTCAACAGTCTCAACATGTTGAGAGCTGTTACAAGACACCAAGTCTGGACTAATCCAATTTCCTTTTCTGACATGAAGTGGTGAGGTCACATTACTTGCTCCCACAGTCCATCAAACCACAAATTCCCAGTTTAGTGCCCCTTCTGAAACATCAACTCTGCAATCCACATGGATGCATTTCAAAGATTTTAGGCTCTGGGCAGGAAGGGGCTGAGACTGGGCTGGAGCAGGCAGCCAATAGCGACATAACCTACTGATGGGGAAAAAATAACGATCATCCAAATTGACTTAAACGTTGTTGCTTTAAGCTGAGGTTTGGCCATGCTCCTTGGTGCTCTTAGGTGATACCAAGTTGTGGGCATGTGAGGGGTATTCTGTCTCAGGCTTTGTCTCTGCCCCCATCAACACAAATGGAATGTTCAGGAGTTGAACGGCCATGTGGTTGTAGTACCCTGTAGGTCAGAGGGAATATATTAAAAGGATTAAGAGATTTTCATGGCCCCAAATATCTTTTGGACATTAATAGTTTGAATATAATATAAATTGAAGATGACAAATAAAATCAGGAAAGATATTTTGTCTCACTATCAAAATTAGAAGCAGTAAAAATAAATCAATTGACATGTGTCCAAAGCAATCACCCTATTTAATGTGGGAAGCCATCTGTGTTCACCCAGAACTTCCACCGAGGGCAGACCCATTTCACTCTTTGCAAATTCTTTTCTTATTAGAAATAGCCAATGTTTCCCTGAGGTGAGTCACCTGCTCATTGGGCTAAAGACAAACTAGCTAAAGAAGCACTTCCCCTAAATGTCTATTGAATAAGAAAAAACATTTTGGCAAATTTTTATGACAGCTGATTGATAATGACCATTTGTGGGCTTTCACTAGTAGTGCAACACTTTAAAATAATTCTACTATTTTCTCAGTCAAAACCTTTCTTCTTTCTTTATGGTGAGTGTTGTCTCCCTAGATCTACCCTCTAGGGCAGGGTTCTAGCAAATTTAAAGGACCCAACTGTAAATTTTTTTTTAAGATTTTATTTATTTATTTGATGCAGAGAGAGAGAGCACAAGTAGGCAGAGCGGTAGGCAGAGGGAGAAGGAGAAGCAGGTTCCCCGCTGAGCAGAAAGCCCTATGCGGGACTCTATCCCAGACCCCCGATCACGACCTGAGCTGAAGGCAGATAGATGCTTAACCCACTGAGCCACCCAGGTGCCCCGCAACTATAAATCTTTTAAGCTTTGCAAGCCACCAGACCCACGTTGCAACTCTGCCACGCGAGTGTGAAAGCAGGCATAAACAGTACGTGGGTGAAGGAGTGTGGCTGTTTCCAAACGAATCTTATTTACAAAAACAGGCAAAGTGGATTTGGTCTGCAGGCTGTCGTTTGCCAATGCCTGCTTTAGAAGAACGGAGTCCGTGCCTTTTATTCTGCTCTGAAAGATGAAAACTTCAGTTGCTGATTTCCAAAAATGGCCTCTTGCCTCCTAATACGTAATTAATATAACTGCAAAGTAGAGCCGAATTTGTATGATTTTAAAGTTATTAAAACAAAAAGACCAAGCTCATTGTGCCTCTAAAATGAAGGAACAGTTTCTCATTTGAGAAACTGTTAAAAAATTAAAACGATGAATAATTTCCAAATTCTGCTTCTATGCAGCAGCCCTCCTGCATTTGAAATTTTCAAGTAGAATAGCTATTATTTCCCACTGATGAACCACAAATGGGCTGAAGATATTTGCATACCTTTTTATACACAATATACACCAGTACTCTAACCTCTGATTCTTCTTACCAAATTCCATTTAATTTGTCATTAATTAGTAAATTGTTATGTGAAATGCTGCAAAGCATCTTGGGTGAAGCAGCCAGCATGATGATTATTCTTCTGGAAGCTATCTGAAATTGTTACTACTGAGCAATTTCCATGAAAATAGAAGGGTCTTTGGAGCTGCTCTTTTAAAATAAGAATAAAATGAACCAAATGGGGGAGAACAAATAAAGGCAATAATAAATCAAGAACAAAAGACAGGAAACAAGTCCCCAAAAAAGTATCTAGGAAGAAAGTATATTAGCTTATTTTTGCAAAGAGTAGATGCTTCTTCAACTTTCCTTTGAAGATGCAATAAAAACAAAACAAACTAAAAACAAGTCCAAAAGTCAACCTTCAGAAGTCCACTTCCTATCTGCTTTAAGAATCTTCACATCTCTGAAAGCCTTTATCTAAGGTGGAAGGTGGAGGGAATCTTGGCAGAGTACAGGCAAGTTCAAGTTCCTTCCTTTTTTCTGTTACTCCCATCAGATGCAGTTGCAATTTCAGAATTTGCTTTGAGTGATTATCATTGTTTATCTTCCTTCCTTCCTTCCTTCCTTCCTTCCTTCCTTCCTTCCTTCCTTCCTTCCTCTCTTCCTTCCTTCCTTCCTTCCTTCCTTCCTTCCTTCTCTTGCCTTGCTTGCTTGCTTCCCTCTGTTTCCTTCACTCTTCTTCTTTCACTTAAAGCCAGGCTGGTCGCATTCTCCAAATAGATGGGATTTTTCCCTTCCAGTTCTTTCCAGTGTTTAATTCCTCCTTAATGCCACCTCCATAACCAAGCTCAAATGAAAGGCGAGCCTCTTTGACCCTCTGCCCTCCCTTTCCTGCCTTCTCTTCTCCTGGGTTTCAATGGTTGATTGAACGGTGTGTTAGGTTCACTGAACTTGGTCTTGGCTTCAGTTCCACCCAGAGACAAAGTCTGCTTCCAGGCCAATTTCCATATGAAAGCAGCCGAGATCTCTTTCCCCATTTTGGAATTCCGGGCAGCACCCTGGGCTCGCTCTTCTCAGACTCAAAGTTTTTACCCAACTTTTCCCCACCCCCACGTTTCAACCCACCCCTAATCTCCTCCCACTCCTGTTTCTTGGGCCACCAGATTTCCATTTCTTTCAGCACACCACTGTGGCCCTGGGAGAGTGTCTGTGAACCCAACTCAAGAACAGCTTGCTTCATGTTTCTCTGAGGCACATGATGTAAGAGAGGGATTTGTTTACTAGGGTTTGAGATGGGCGTCAGGGAGGCGGGAGGTGCCATGCTGGACGGTGAGGGAGGGGCGCGTGGATGTTTGCTAGGGCTGACTTTATGAAAATCCTAATTTTCACTGCCAACTATTTAGAGACAAATATAGCCCCATTAAAGAATTTATCTGCTTGTCTGTAGATCTGCTTTGGGTCTTAGGCAAACTGCCTCCAAAATTTCTACTTCCAAGATGAGGTTTTGCCAAACTCGAAAACGACAACAAAAAAGATGTTGCTCCTTTCCATTGTGTTTCTGGTGTAAGTAAATGGCCTGTCTGGACCTTTAAAAATGCCATTAGCAAAAATAGTATCTCCAAGCTGGAAGGAACCCTGGAAGCCTGTCTATATTTGAAAGCCACAGAAATGGGTGTAGGTTGACAGATGGGAACATCAGCCTCAGGTCTCCATCCATGTCAAATCAGAAAGACTTCAGAAGTTGCTGGTGGCCAAATCAGCCCTTATTTATTTACTGGCATGTGTTAATATCGGAGCCTTGATGTTTCCGCTGGAAGGTCCTTCCGGCGTTAATACCTGGTCACATTTTGGTTATGGTCTGAACAATGCTTTGCTTCTTCCTTTTGCTGGGGAACAAGCACAGTGAATTATAGACTTCTTGTGGGTGCAGCAGATGCCGTAATTGTTTTCATTATGTCTCCTAAAAAATGTCACTTCTATGGTGGGTGCGGTTGTCTGGAAGACACCACAGGATTGTCCCAGAATCCTTGTTGTAGTTATGAGGACCTGCACTTGTCCATGTGCATGAAGGGTGTGTGTGTGTGTGTGTGTGTGTGTGTACACGTGCGTATGTACCTCTGTGGGGTTTTTTGAGTGTGCTCACACATATGAGCAATGTATGTGTGTGTATGTGGTATATTTTCGACCGTGTGTGCACAACGATACTTGTGTATGGATGTGTGAGTGTGTGAGATGCATATGCACATGGGGTAGGCACATGGATGGACACGTGTGTATGCACCTAAATGTGTATAATTGGGCATGTGTGTCAGGGCATGTGTGTGAGGGTGAGTGTGCAAGTCGGGATGTGGAGCCCATCCAATAAGAATCATAGTTGCCAAAGGCTTTCAAGACTCTTATAGTCATATTCCCAGTGGGCCCCAGACCTCAGCCTCTGCCTCAAGGCACAGTATGCTCTCCTGAAAGGAGAAATTCTTGCAGTACAGAATGTCTGCTGTTGTGACCTCAAACTCTCCTAAGTTGTATTGGCCAGGTCCCCAAAGCAGCCTGGACATCACCGAAGATGCAAGGCCTAAGCAAAAACATATGTGCACACCTCTGCCTGGGAATCCAATGGCCTTTAAGGAAAGGGATCTATCTCCGTGTAAGAGTGAGCCGTGAAAAACTGTCCGGCCCCACTGTTTGCAGTGAAGTTGCCTGGTGTCATTTATTATGCTGACCAGGTTCCTTCTCATATGGATTATAATAAAATAATCTGCCCTTGTTTTATCTCGTAGACCCTTTATTGTCCCGCATCTGGCTTTTGTAATGAATTCATACATAGGTGGGTGACAAAAAGGAAGAAGAGTTTAAGTATTATGACAGTGTTAGTATTGATCACAGAATAGATTAAGAGACAGCTAGGAGGAATTTCTTCATAGGATCAAATTCTCCCTCTTCCCCCCACCCCCCAGCCCCCGAGCCAGCCAACAGCAGTAGACACCAACGTTTGTCAATGCAACAATTTCAACTCTTGAGCAAAAAGCCTCCCATCTCAGAAATTTTGCATCTAACAAATCACAGCATTTTGTCCTTAAATGTATCCTGTGGCGATATTTTGGCAGGGTTGTTGGACTGTGGGATAAGGAAACGAAGAATTTTCAAGAAAGGATTTCCCACCCCCAACTGCTACACACTGAACAGCATTGTCCAGGGAGAGGTGGTGATGATTAATCACGTCCAGTTCCCTAGAACCCATTCTCCCCTTCCCCCTCTCCTTTCCATTTCTTCCCCTTTCCATAGACTGCTATGACAGGGAGAATGATTTACTGACTAGTTGCGGATAACAGATATCATGTCTTACATCCAATCTAGTTGAGTGTCTTTTAAATAAACAGGCCTAGCCTGGCCTTGGGCCCTAATGCCATTGCCTTTTTCATGGCCTTTATCCCGAACACTTTGTCTTGGCTCCCAGATCTTGTTTGCTTGGTCCCTGACCCCTTGACTTACTCTGCAGCCAGACCCAGAGTCTCAAACTCCGCTAGACTCAGTTCTTAGACTTGCATCCCCAGCGCTGACCTTAGCCTTCCATTCCTGATTCAGTTCTCATTTGCCTTTCTGCTTATTCTGTTTCAAGGCTCGCTGCAGAAGCACTTTGCATGATCCCACCCAGCGTCACTGCTGGGTTCTCATTAGTTCTGGGGATGGAACCCCAGCTTTTGGCCAGCTGCAGCTGTGTTCTGAGAATTATTTCAGGAAGGAGATTGAATAGAAAATAAAGACAGAGAGGTCTGTGGTTTATTGAGCATCTATATCCTGCCAAGCACTGTGCAGAAGAGCTTTATGTATGTTACCCGATGCAACAGGATCCGTGTTAGGACTCCCAACTAACCTTTGCAAAAGCTGAATCTAAGACAGAGTAACTTGCCCAAGGTCACTCAGCACAGCTAGTGAGTGGAAGAACCAGGGTTTAATCCCACATCTAATTGTTCTTCTGTAATCTTACTCTTTCCTATAATCCCCACCCTAATCACAACGGTCTTCGTGTCTGCCAGGCTCTGTCTCCAACTGATTGCGCACATTATTTTTTTATACTTTGAAAACACTGAGATATAATTCACATACCACAAAATTCAACCTTTAAAAGTGTATAATTCAGTGGTTTTAGTATATTCACAAGGTTGTGTTACCATCACTCTCTCTCAAATTCCACAATTTCATCACCACAAAAAGGAACCCCATGCCCATGAGCAGGCACTCCCCACCCGTTCCTCTCCCTAGCCTCTGACAACTGCTAATCTGTTTTTTGTCTCTATGGGGTTGCTCATTTTGAACATTCCTTTCACATGAAAGTAATCACACACTATGTGGCCTCTGGCTTCTTTCACTCAGCCTAATGTTTTCAAGTTCATCTGCCTTGTAGTCTGTTTCAGTACTTCCTTTTTATGGCTGAGTAATATTCCTTGTGTGGGTGCATTACATTTCTTAAAGACAGCCTTCACAACTACCCTATGGGGTAAGTGTAATTATCATCTCCATAGGTAAACTGAGCCATAGAGATTAAAAGACTTGCATTAGGTAGGTCCTATTCTAGGAATGGTCTGCAAAATGCAAAAATTTCACCTTTGTATTTTCAGTTCAAATTGTTCATTGTGCATCCCAAGCAGATGATGGACCAGATTTACAACCACGATGTAACATGGTTATAGGATGTTGCAGGATGTTTCCCTCATGTTACGGGAGAGTTTCTGGCATGTTACGCGAGAGTTCCACACAGGATGCACACAGGGGGAGGATGCGCCTCCCCCGCCCCCACCCGCCCCAGGCTCTTTATGAGGATTCAGGAGGTGTCCCTGACCCACCCTTAGGCCTTGAGCCCTCCAGCGGCCTCCTCGGCCTCCACAGTTCTGCAGCACAACCCGAAACCACGGTCTGGAGGGGAGGGTGGATGAAGAGAAGCACATTCATGAGGAGACTTTTGATGATGCCTCTCAGTGGGCGCAGTGCATCCATCATGGCTTCTGCCTCAGTTGGAGCTGGGGGACTTGCAGTTTTTTCTTCCATGACAGGGATTCTAAGATTCCAAGGGCCAAGTCGTCTTGCTTTCACGGAGCTCACACTCAGCGGGGAGAGAGCGCGTGCACAGACGTCCGCGGCCATAGCACGCTGGCCCCCACGCCGGCATTGAAAGTGGATGACCGTGAGGGCGGGAGCGGCTGTCGGAGCCGGGGAAGAAGTAGGGCTGAGGTGGGCGGAGGGGGGTAAAGTCTTCAAGGAGTGCTGGAGTTTCGTCAAACATCCCAAAGAGGCTAGAGCTGGAGAAGGCAGTGCAAGGAGAGGCCGAGGGCTAGGTATGAGCTGGGTGTGGTTGGAGAAACATGACCCAACCTGTCTGGCTGGAGTTGAAAGGCTCTTAGGAGGGGCGGGTGAGGGAGGCTGGGAGGAGACTGTGGCAGGACAAAGCATTTGGAGTTCATTTGGTAAGCGGACAAAGGTGGGGCGGGGAAGCTGAGGCAGGGTCCGCCCGAGCATGCTGTTAGTCTGCTGGTCTCACAGGGAGTGTGGCATCACTAGGGGAGCGTTTTCCGACTTCATTGCCTCTTGAGAAGCGATGGCAGAGATGTGGGGCTCAGACCAGCCGAGAGGGAACGCTGAGGATGGTGCGGTCACAGGCAGCCAGAGGCTGTGAGAGCGAACTGCAGATAACAAGCAAAGGGTTGAGGCATTGCCCTCCTGTGGGCAGATGCCCTCAGGGAACCCAGAGTGAGCCTTCTACTCGCTACTCTGAACTGGCCAATCTGGTGGCCAAGTTAAGGCTGTGGGCGCAGGCACAGGGAATGAAAAATTGAGCTATCATCTGGGAAGGATTGTGCCTACACGGAAGCCAAAGAAACACGTCCATAATTCATCTCAAAATCTCTGTGAGTCTGGAGGTCCAATTTGAAAATGTAAATGCAAAGCTTTTCATTCTGATGATAGCCATCACTTACTGGACTCTTATCTTCGGGGCATGCTCTATAGCAGGGAAACCGCTCAGAGAGGTTGAGTGACTTGCCCAATGTCAAACAGCTAACAAACGGCAAGGCCAGGGCTCTCTCCTCATGCAGCTGACATCAAAGCCCATGCTTGCTTACTCACCCATGTTACATCCAGACAGTTCTTCAGACATTGTGTTGACAGAGAAGCATCTGTGTGTATTTTCATCCCAGTCATCTTGATTTCTGACTTCTTAATCCATATGTGAGGAATGAAATACAGCCCTGGTTCTGTTTCCTTGCTCTGGTTGAAAATGTAGGTGCTGAACACAAAGCCAGATTCAAAAATGTGGGACATCGGTGTCTCTTCTACTTTATACAGTAGTTCGGTAAATGCTCTTTGTTCATACCCGTGAATTTTATGCCATAGCCCTGTGGCTGGAGTTTCCTGCAATGGCCCAGCTATCTAGTGCTAGTATCATTACATTCAAGAAGTTACTTTTTTTGGTAGAAGGATTTCATTTAAACAGAAATAGACATTGTCATTTTACAGCTTTTTTCACACCCTGGCCTCTTCGTTCACGATATTTATTGGGGGAGTAAAAACGTGTTTGCACACATGCTCGTGTATGCACTTGTGTGTGCGCACATACTCAACCTTCATTATTGGCATAGAATGAGAACGTTAGGGAGCGGGAAGTGGTCTGGCAAAGGCAAGTTTCTCTGGGTCTGGGGAGGTCCACATGGGGGCCGTGCTAAAGGGATGGGGTACGAGCGGGTGGGAGGGCGCCTCCCCTGACCTTTCCACTCGGGATTCTGGCACAAATACTGACATTCCAAGCATCCTCTCTGAGGGCACTGCTTGGGGTATGAGGCTGTTCACATCAAGCCAGGAAATTTCATCCATATGTTTCTGATTCATTTACACTCATAAAAATGTGATTTTCAAGAGCGACGTGACATGCAATAAGCTTTCTAGGCCTTCTCTCCTGCTCTGTCTCTGCTCAGAGGAGCGGACAGATCCATTTTGCCAAGAGAAAACGAATTCAGACCGCAGGATGCTCGACCCCAGAGGCAGGAACGCCAGCAAGGTTCACACAGATGGTCCCCTGCTAGGGTAAGGTGACTCCCACCAATATACCATTAGGCCGCAACTGTGCCCGAGACGGGCTTCTCCCTTCCCCAAGGAGCGCTGGCCTAATAACCCAATGATAATGATGGCTTTTTTCTTTGCTCTTTTTATTTTCTCTGTTTCTCAGCCTTTCATTTGCTCTCATTACCCTAGGAGCATTGATTCCCCTGCTCTGCTGACTGTTCATTGCAACAGCGGTTGCATCTTTGTTCCTTCGGATTAGCTCATTGTGAGCCAATCCATTCACTCCCTTTGTTTTCTGTTTTTATTAACTGAGATATTGCAAATTGCCAGAAAATAGTGGAGCTCTGTTTCGTTCTCCCATCTGTATTGCCTTTCAGGCCATTTGTCTCAGGAGCTGTGTCTCTTGGCCTCTAACGAGTTTACTTAGTTTTGCCATCATACTATATACCTGGGTCTGTTCTTGTCTTTTTTGTTGAACTGGCCAACCCTGTTTGATTTGCCTTTTTGCTGATCCCGGAGGTGGTGGGTGAGGTCGGCTGCTCTGATGGCACCTCTTCCAAGCGATGAAAAACACGGAAAGGACTCTGCTCCAAATTAAGGGAAACATGGCAGCTTTGGAGGCCCACAGATTGGTAAGTTAACCCTGACCCTACTACTTCGCGGTTGCATGACCTAGGGTCTCCATTTTCTCCTCTGTATTGTGAAGATGATAAAACCTATCTCACAGAGTTGCTATTAAGGATTTTAAAAAGTTAGCTTGTGTTTGTCCCTAATACAGGGCCTGGCACACAGGAGGGGCCATTTCATGTTAGTTAGTGTTGGTTTAGACAAAGGCCACCTACAGTTGTGAAAGTTGTGTTTATGGCCCCTTGCGGCCAGGGAGAGCATAGACCTGGGAGACCATGGGCTGTCCAAGTAAGAGGGTGTTTGAAAGAACCTATAATAGGATTTGGGCTTTGTTGATTTTTTTTGGGGGGGGAATCTAAGAAAGATGAGATTTGATGCTGTCAGAAAATGGGGTTATTGTATAATTGGGTATCTCCCTCAATGGAGTAGTTCAGGCAGAGGACGGGGAGGAAGTAAAGGTGTTGACTGGGGGTGGGGGATTGAATATTATTTGAATTCTTGTCCTGGATAAGGGGGGGAATTAAGCACCGCAGAATCTGGGGCTGGACACACAGAGAAGGAAGACATCCCCAGGGACTGCAGAGTATGGAGCCATCTGAAGACTGGGGCAAAGCCAAACACTGTGCACACAGTGGATCTAAGCTAAGGGAGAACACAAGCACAAACATAGAAACAAACACAGACAACCAGAGAAGCTCGGGAAGCAGCGAGATAAAGTTAGAGGCTCAGGTATTGGAACGTGGAAAAACCTTATAGAACAACAGAGTGGAGAGGCAAAGATTTTACTAGATGTCTTGGTCCCCCCTACTCATGAGATGGAACTCTTGAAGATGCTGGGCCAGTTCACCTAAACACAGCATATCAGGAAACCATGGGGGAAGCATTTGACTGGAAGTTTGAAAGGTGGGGAGTGACCAGATTATTGACAGTCTTAAATGTAGCCTCTCTGTCCTCCACTCCATGCCTTTATTTGTTGGGATTAATAAATTGCAACAGTTAGGCTTCTGGGTGGCTATCAGGACATTACTGAAAGATGAGTGTTTCCTAGAAATCTTTCTTATCCCGAATCACTAAGATGACTTGCCTCTCTCTTTAGCAGGACTCTTAGCAAACTGCTATAAACTAAATGTTTATGTCTCCCACAATTTAGACGTTGAAAGCTAACCCGTAATATTATGGTATTTGGAGGTGGGGCCCTTGGGAGGTGAATTGGTCATGAGGGCTCCACCCTCATGATTGGGATTAGTACCCTTATAAGAAGAGACTCCACAGAGCTCCCTCACCTCCTTCGGTCATTTGAGGACGCAGAGAGAAGAGGGCCATCAGTGAAACAGGAATCAGGTCTTCGCCAGATACTAAATCTACCATCACCTTGATCTTGAACTTCCCAGCCTTCAGAACTGGGAGAAATAAATTTCTGTTGTTTATAAGCTACCCAGTCTATGGTATTTTGTTAAAGCAGCCTGAACAGCCTCAGGAACAGACCTATCATGTTTGCAAAGGATGCAGCTCTTTCTTCTCCCCGTGACTCATAATTTACCACCTGGTTGGTGTGTCTGCAAAGGGATATCTTCTTTAGCAGAGTCAACGCCAGGAACTCCAGCCAGTGTTCACCATTCCTGCTCTGGGCAGAGAGGACAATAAGCAGACAACCCTTAGCTTTGATGGTCTATGGCCAAGCATCCCTCTTAATTCTTCTACTGGTTCTCTAGACTCTTTTCAGATTATTTGTCTTATTTCAGACAGTTTAGCCTCCTTGATTTTCCTGATTCGTACTCCCAGGCAACTTGGAATTCTAGTCTTTTTTTGCTTTTTAGATTTCTTGTCTACCTTGAGAAAATTGGCCTATGGTCCCAAATTCTCAAATTGCAGTGACCACCAGCTTCCAAGTCCAACCTCAGCTCTGACCCAGTTCCACACCTCCCCCTTGTTCAGGCCCTGGTTTTCTTCCTGGATCCCCTAACACCCATCAACACCTCTCTTTTGGCTGTGAGGCCTGCCACTGAAAATGACAGAGGTGGAGAGAATATATTCAGTAGGGAGTAATCTTGATTATAGAATCAGCCTGATACATATTGAGGAAGATATATTGATGGAGGATCAGATCTATTGGAGGTTTATCTGGTTTGTTGAGGGAAACTGTCTTGGTTCTCAAATACTTTGTACCGATGTGGTGGTGCCAGAGTGGGTCTCCACTGCTTCCCCAGAGCTCTAGGGAATTATGTCCTGCTTTGTGCCTAAACAGGCAGCACACAGCTCTGTTTGTTCTGTGGTCTGCAGAACTGTGGGGTCATTTTCACCTCATGGAACCCTACCCACTATCTGCCCTGGAAACTTCCAGGTCCCACTGCCATATTCTAAGTTCAATTACCACAAATGACCAGTCTCAAGCTGGGCCTTGAACTTAATTGTATTCTCTTTTCACTTTTGCCCCCAATTTTCCCCAGGTTCCTAATTTTCCAAGTGCTCCTTTACTCTTGGCATAAGATACTGCACCTATCTTGGAAGGAAACGAGAGAAGCCAACGGGTGGGACATCTCCATCTTGCATAAATACTATTGCATAAATACTCCCCTTCTCTTCTCCAAGGGAAATACAAGAAGTGTCCCTTTTTCTGTTTAAAGCTACCTTCCCCTACTTCCTAAAGGACCATTTTTCATTTTATTTCCCCAAATTATGCAGTTGTCTCAACACCACTTATTAAATGTGTCCTACTGACTTAAATGTCAACTTTATCATATACTAAATTCCATATGTTTTCAGAGTTTAGATTCTTATTGTCAAAGTTAAACAAGGCTGGACACTAAAGTGTTGAAGACATATTTTGATCAGTCATGTACTATTACAATGGGGAAAAGAGTCTAGTGTGAACTCAACTCAAATTTGATTTGTACAGAGGTGACTGGGCTTTTTAAAGGGAGAATGAGGGAATATGGAGGGATATAAGCTGGACTTGGTAGAGTCAGGGAAGCGAAAACATACAAAAAAATAGGAAGAGAGCTTCATCTATGTGCAACTGGTTTGGGTTTGCTAACTGACACTTACAGAAGTTAGGCTACCACCCTCCCACTGAGGCTGGAAGACAAGCATTGGCTAGAACAAATAGTAAATTCTTTCAGCAACCTTGAGTTTTCTCAGGTGGGCACTTTATGGAGGGCTAGGATCATCTTAAGGATGAGGCCATGAATTGTTAGAAACTCTATTGTGTTTTATTCAAGTTGTCATAGGCCACTGCAGAGGCCTACTTGAGAAAGGGCTCAAAGGAGCCTGGCTAAAAGTTTGGTTAAGAGGAGAGTCTTGGTCACTGTGCATCCATTGTCTATTCTTAGGTCAATGCCATAGCGTTTCAAGTATTACAGCTTTATGTTGCATTTCATACTTCGTAGACATTATTATGACATGTTTGTTTATTTATGTATTATCTCCTTGCCAGAATGCAATTTCTACGAAGTGGGGATTTGTAATCTTTGCTTACTTGTTGGGTCTCCAGCACATGGTGAGGACTCTTGTCACTCTCTCTTTGTTCATTGAATGAATTTCCCATGCCTTTAATCTCTCCCTCTCTAATTTTTCCTTCTTATCAACATTTAAACAGACTTTTTCATTTAAAACAATAAAGCAATTGTCCCTACACCCCATGCTCTCACTACACATGGCTCTATCTTTTTCTATGTCTTGGCAGTCATTTTTTGGGGGGGAATAAATATATGGAATTTCTCAGAATGTTGTCTAAACTGTATCTTCAATCCATTCACTCCCCACTTCCTGCAGTCTGACTTCCACTTCTGTCACTCCCTGGAAATTCTCTTGCTATGAGCACCTACGATATCTGCTCCTAGAATATTTGGTGCCCGTAAATCTCAACTTAAGCAAGATGCCTCCTCTGAGTTCCAGAGCCAGGTACCCACCTCTGATAAACTATTCCCACCTGTTTTCTCACACTATGCATAATGAAACATAAAATCCTCCCTTTCCTTTTCTAACCTGCTTTTCCACGTTCCCCATCTTAGAAAATGGCATCCAGTTGTTCAAATGACAGGCCCAAGACATCCTAAATAGCTCCTGCTTCCTTTCAATCTAGTTTCCAACATCCAACTAGTCACTAAGCAGCCCCTAAATATCTTTTGCTAGTTCAGGCCATGGTCATTGTTTGGATTACTACAGCAGCCTCCAGTTGTCATGCCTCTTGTCTTTCTTCCCCAAGACTCTTCTCCATCCTCTAGCCAGAGTGAGCTTTGGAAATGAAATTGTACTCCTGTACTCTCACTGTAAATCCATCCCTGGCTCTGACTGACCGTGGAATGAAGCTCCGAAGCATGAGTGTGTATCTCCAGTCTATTCTTCAATAATGACATAAAGTACATAAGTCATTCTGAGACTTAGTTTCTTCATCTGTAAAGTGGGGATGATAATCCTTGTCCTTCCTATTTTGTAATAAGGATGAAGTGTCTTCAGATATATAAGTGCTTTAGGAAGTAAGGAATGATAATCCACTGCTCAATGCATAGCTGTTGAGTGGGTGAATGAATTGCTTCTGTCACTTTGTTCCCCTATCCAGGCTGGCTGCATGTGTAGAGGAAGCAGAGCAGTAGGGAGGTAATTTCTAGCCCCTTAAATTTGAGGGGATACTGCTTTACAATCTGAGACCAGCATGTTCAGTGCTGACTTTTCTTCTCCTCAGTTGTCTTTATTGTATCCATTCATAAATCCAGCTGTCAGAGAACCACTTCAAATAAGCTCTCCTCAGCATATATCACCACCCCCTGAGGAGGGTATGTTCTGCGAAGTTAGGGGAATAAATGTAGATTTTTCTAGAAGGAAAGAAAAAGGAAGGACTTTCACTTTTATTCAATTATCACTTCAGCAGCTGCCTACATGACTTGGAAAATTCCCCTCACTTCTCTCGATGGATTCTCTATTGCCCAAATCCCCGTTCTCACTGGCTGACAGAGACTGGTTTGCAGTGCCGAAAATATTTGATGTTGAAATGTAGAGGGAGGTGATA